ATGGGGAGTTTGGCATATATCCCAGTTGGGGAGAGACCTCTTGCAGTTGATGTTCAGGCCTTGGCCAATCGGTTTGTGACATTAGATATTTCGGAGCCCAGCTGGGTATTGGCTTGCGTGGTTTCTCGTTCTTCTTTATATGATTGCATCAGAGAGCGCCAGTATGATGATCCGCATTTTCTTGTCCTGAAGGACAGAGTTCAACATGATGAAGCCAGAGATGTGACCATTGGTGATGATGGAGTGTTGAGGATGCAGGGCCGGATTTGCGTGCCCAATGTGGATGGGCTTTGGGAGTTGATATTGGGAGAGGCCCATAGCTCGCGGTATTCCATTCATCCGGGTGCCGCGAAGATGTATCAGGATCTTAGACAGCATTATTGGTGGCGGAGAATGAAGAAAGATATTGTGGGGTTTGTAGCTCGGTGTCTAAATTGTCAGCAGGTGAAATATGAGCATCAGAGACCGGGTGGCTTGCATCAGCAGATGGTTATCCCCGAGTAGAAGTGGGAGAGGATCACTATGGATTTTGTTACTGGACTTCCTCGGACTTTGAAGAAGTTCGGTGCTATTTGGGTGATTGTAGACAGGCTGACCAAGTCCGCGCACTTCATTCCTATCTGTACTACTTATTCTTCAGAGCGGATGGCAGAGATATATATTCGGGAGATTGTTCGGTTGCATGGTGTCCCAGTTTCCATAATATCAGATCGGGGCACTCAGTTTACTTCCCAGTTTTGGCAGTCTATTCAGCGAGAGTTGGGTACTCAGGTGCAGTTGAGCACAGCCTTTCACCCTCACACGGACGGGTAGTCCGAGTGCACCATTCAGATATTGGAGGATATGCTACTCGCCTGTGTTATTGATTTCGGAGGGTCATGGGATCGGTTTCTACCACTTGCAGAGTTTGCCTACAACAACAACTACCAGTCGAGTGTTCAGATGGCTCCATATGAGGCTTTGTACGGGAGGCGGTGTAGATCTCCGGTTGGTTGGTTCGAGCCCGGTGAGGCTAGGCTATTGGGGACCGATTTGGTTCAGGATGCTTTAGATAAAGTGAAGGTAATTTAGGAGAGACTCTGTACGGCGCAGTCGAGGCAGAAGAGTTATGCGGACAGGAAGGTTCGAGATGTATCCTACATGGTTGGTGATAAGGTCCTGTTGAAGGTTTCACCCACAAAGGGTGTTATGAGATTCGGAAAAAAGGGAAAGTTGAGTCCGCGGTTCATTGGGCCTTTTGAGGTACTTCGGAGGATTGGGGAGGTGGCTTATGAGCTTGCCTTGCCACCCAGCTTGTCGAGTGTGCATCCAGTTTTTCATGTTTCTATGCTCCGGAAGTATATTGGATACCCGTCCCATGTTCCGGATTTCAGTACGGTTCAGTTGGAGGGTGATTTGACTTATGATGTAGAGCCAGCAGCCATTTTGGAGCGTTAGGTTCGGAAGTTGAGGTCAAAGGATGTAGCTTCAGTGAAGGTGCAGTGGAGAGGTCGGCCCGTGGAGGAGGCTACCTGGGAGACTGAGCGGGAGATGCGGAGCAGATATCCTCACCTATTTGAGGCTTCAGGTATGTTTCTTGACTCGTTCGAGGACGAACGTTTGTTTAAGTTGGGGAGGATGTGACGACCCGGCCAGTCGTCTCATGAGTTACCGCTCTGTTTCCCCCATTTCTGCTTATTTATGCTTCGTTATCCGTGTTTTATGTGGTCGTGTTTATTGGTTTGCGTTTGGAGTGGATTTGGTAAGAAATGAGACACTTAGTCTCTTTTAAGAAGGCTTAAGTTGGAAAAGTCAACCGGATGTTGACTTATAAGTTAGAGGGCTCGGATGGGAATTCCGATGATTCGGTTAGCTTCGGGAGGTGATTTATGACTTAGGAGTGTGATCGGGATTGGTTTTGGAGGTCCGGTGTAGAATTAGGCTTGAATTGGCGAAGTTAGTATTTTGGCGATTTCCGCTTGGTAGGTGAGATTTTGATCCCAGGGTCGGAATGGAATTCCGAGAGTTGTTGTAGCTTCGTTATGTGATTTGGGATGTGTGTGCAAAATTTCAGGTCATTCGGACGTGGTTTGGTTGGGTTTTTGATCAAAAGCGTATTTCGAAGGTTTTTAGAAAACTTAGGCTTGAATTCGATGTGAATTGATGGATTTAGTGTTGTTTGAGGTGTTTTGATGATTGGAGCAAGTTTGAATGAGGTTTTAGAATGTGTTGGTGTTTTTGGTTGAGGTCCCGGGGGCCTCAGAGTGATTTCGGATGACTAACGGGAAGAGTTGGACTTGTGCAATTGCAGATTTTCTGCTGCTTCTGGTGTTTTCGCACCTGCGGTTTGGGTACCGCAGGTGCGGTATCGCAGATGCGTTGATTTGGATCGCAGAAGCGGAAAGGCTGAAGGAGGCTCGGAACCGCAGATGCGGAAGAAGGGCCGCACCTGCGGAGCCGCAGATGCGGATATTAGACCGCAGATGCGGTTAGGCGGGATTTAAGTGAATTCCGCAGATGCGGGGAAATGACCGCAAAAGCAGTACCGCAGAAGCGGGTATTTGAACGCAGGTGCGGTTATGACTGGGCAGAAGGTATATATAGTTCTTCTTCGCGATTTTTGAAGGGTTTATTCATTTTAACTTCGGACTTAGAGTTTTTGGGCGATTTTGAAGAGAGATTTCAAGGAAACTTCGATAAGGTAAGGATTTTGGACCTAAAAACACACTTCTATGGTAATATTTCACGGATTGGGACTGAAATTTAAGGAATTAATAGACTAAAAATGGAGGTTTAAGGCTTGAGTTTAAGAGAGTTTAAATTGGGAATTTGAGGGGTCAATTGGACTCCGATTCTTGCAATTTTTATATGTATGAACTCATGGGGAGACGAGGAATCTAATGATGTAAAAAATTTTGAGTTTCGAGAAGCGGGCCCGGGGCTCGGGTTTTGCTAATTTCGGGATTTTTTATATTTTCGATTGTTTTCGCTTGGGTTTTGTTCCCTTAGCATATTGTGACATATTCGCTCTGATTTTTGGTTAGATTCGACGCGCGTGGAGGCCGATTCGAGAGGCAAGAGCGTCGCGAGCTAGAGTTTTAGCCGGTTCGAGGTGAGTAATGAATGTAAATGATGTCCTGAGGGTTTGAAACCCCGGATTTGCACATCATAGTGCTATATTGAGGTGAGACACGCGCTTGATGATGAGTGTGGGGTCGTTTACTATTGGGGATCGTGACTTGGTCCGTCCCGAGTGATGCTTTTACCGCGTATTTGATTGAAACTTATTAGTTATCATCATTATTTGGATTGATTGCCATATTTGGGCTTCGTGCCATCTATTTGAACCCTCCAGGGGTTTTTATCACTATTTCCTCACTGTTTTGATCTACTACTTGAACTCAGTCGTACTGTTTTCTACTATTTTACAACTCAGCCACTTCTACTTAGTTTTTGGAACTAAAATGATTTATTAAATGATGTTTGGGCTGAGAAATATTGTTTTACTAATGCCCGAGGGGCTTATGTGAATTCTGGACTGAGTATGGCCGAGGGCCAGATGTGAGGATACTATGGGATCGGGCTGCGAGCCGCAGCAGTGTTATACTGATACTGATATGAGGCCGAGGGCCTAGATTTTGATGCCACGAGATGGCTTGATATTGCGCTTGGGCCGTAAGGGGCCCCTCCCGGAGTCTGTACACCCCCAGTGAGTGCCGTCGACGAGATATATGGATCAGGCTGCACGCCGCAGCGGGTACTATATGGCACTGTTATATGTGTTGACTTTCTTTAACTGCATGTCACTTAACTGCTCACTTGCTGTAGAATTATCGTATTTCATTTTCATTGGTTTATTGCTGTCATATTACTTGTCTTATCTGCCGCATTATAGATTCCTCTGTGTTTTTCCGTGATTTCTTATTCTCAGTCATTATTTATACTTATTACTCACTGGGTCGGAGTACTCACATTACTCCCTGCACCGTGTGTGCAGATACAGGCATAGTAGAGTCTGCTCCTGAGTGTTGATCCTCCCAGTCCAGGCTGTGATTTGGAGACTACGAGGTAGCTGTTAGCGTCCGCAGCCCCCGTGCCTCCCCTATCTTATCATTTTCATGTTCTTTGAACTATTGTATCGGACTTAGTGTTCAGTAGACTTGTATCCAGATTTCTTAGTTGCTCGTGACTTGTGACACCCTGGTTTGGGATGTGTCGAGATGGTTTCTTCTGTTGTTATCGTTACTTCCGCAAATTATGACTATTATATCATGTTTAATAACCGTTTTTGGCATTTAACTGCTTAAAAGAGGTGTTCTGTATGGGTCTGGCTGGCCTTGTCTTCACGAGAGGCGCCATCACGACCGGGTTCGGAAATTGGGTCGTGACACTAACGAAGGTGAAACAAGGGAGTTAGAAATATAAATTTTCAGTAAACTAAGAGGATGAGTCCTCTGATTGAAACTTAATTGTTTTTTTAACAGAAAAGGGCCTTCCGACTGAGGACCAGACTTCAACATTTCAAACTGCAAGTACCTTTTTAAAGGTAGCAACTGAATTAGGCTAGAGTATCTACAGAATACCTCTCTTACTTTGTTTGAGATGAATACAGTATTTAACTATCTTCTAACAGCTTAACTAATCACTCACGTGTAAGTCACATGTGTGGGTGTGCATTATCTAAAATGCCCTTCTTACATCCTATGTTTTAACTCTCAATACTGCCCCTCAAGCTGGAGGGTGGAATATATCTAACACACCAAGCTTGGATACTAAGAAACAATGTTGTGCAACAGTCAACCCCTTTGTTAGGAGATCAGCTAACTACAAAGAAAAAGAAGCATAGCATGGATGTACAAGCCCTGCTTTGATCTTCTCTCTTACAAAGTGATAGTCTATCTCGATATGCTTTGTTCTTTCATGAAATATTAGATTTCTAGCTATTTGAATGGTTGCCTTGTTGTCACAGAACAGAGAAACAGGTTTAGACACTTTGATCCCCAAGTCTTCCAACATTCCTGTCAACCATGTGATTTCTGCAGTTGCAGCTGCCATGCTCTGTATTCAGCTTCTGCTAAAGTCCTGCTCACTGTAGGCTTTTTCTTTGATTTCCATGAAATCAAGGAATTGCCTAGTTTCACGACATAACCTGTCATAGACCTCCTTGTGTTGAGGCATGATGCCCAATCTGAATCACAGTATGCACTAAGTTGATCAATGGCTCCTGATTCTATCAATAACCTCATTCCTGGTGCTCCCTTGATGTATCTCACCACTCTCAATTCTGCCTCCATGTGTGATTGTTTGGGCTTTTGCATAAATTGACTCAAAGTTTGTACTGCAAAGCTTATGTCAGGCCTAGTGATAGTTAAGTATAGCAAACTTCCATCAATCTTTGATAAGCTGATTTGTCTTCTAACTCTGAATCTCCTATCTTCCCAATGCATGTGTCATATTCCACTGTTGTCAATTTTTATTCAACTCTATAGGAGTTGCAATTGGCCTTGCACCACTCAAACATGTCTCCGAGATTAATTCCAAAGCATATTTTCTTTGATTGAGTAGGATCCCCTTCTTTAATCTTGAGACTTCAATTCCCAGGAAGTATCTTAATGTGCCTAAGTCCTTAACTTTGAACTTACTATGTAAAATTGTCTTGGCATCATTAATTAGACTGGAGCAGCTCCCAGTAAATCATCCACATATATCAGTATAATGACCACCTCTTCTCCTTGGTGCTTTGTGAATAAGGAGTGATCAAATGCACTCTGTTTATAGCCATTCTGAGTAAGTGCATCAGTGATTCACAGGTACCACATCTTATTCAAAAAATTCCAGGTGTTGATAATGTTTCAAAGCATTGTGCTGCAAGCTCAATATTTTCAGCCAAGGACTCCCATTTTTCCGAGGATGGACGGACATCAGAACCAAAAATGGATCCTGCAAGAAAGTTAAAAATGACTTCAAAAGTGACTAACTAATCATAATACTCTACCTTGTTATTGCTATAAAACTTTACCTGTGAGCCAGAGAAGGTGAAGTTCCCACCGGATTGAAACTGGGTGGTCCCATTTCTTGTCAATATTGCCAACCTTTGCAATTCATCATCCATGATATCCACATCCACAGCCCCTTGAAATGTCAAGTAATAAAAAACGATTGTTGCCTGTATAACAGTATCTCCAAAAATTCAGTGAAATTCAAAACTTGCAACTGGTTTAACAATTATTTGAAGTTAAATCTTACATCAACTGCTGGTTATCCCCGCTGCTTGTGACCAAATGCCAAATCGATCCAGTGGTGGAGATTTGATTTCACATATTTACTTTCAAGGGTTTCTTCGTTCTAACAAATAAATTCAAGAGCCGCAATATTAGCAAAAGTCTGCCTAGAAAAGTATATGATTAGTGATGAAGATGAACATCTCTTCAGTAGTTTCTCGCATTGTCTAACAGAGTAGAAGATGTCACCTGTCATTGGAACTCACATTACCGAGGAGTTGACTTTATTTTTATCTTTTAGTCAAATTTGATACACATCCACCTATATTCTCCAACGATGAATTCACAAGTCGCACAAAGATACATCGCAGAAGAGTTACCTAGTACCAAAAGGTATTAAAAGAGCAATATAATACGACCGAGTTATAAAATAGCAAACATAAAAAAGTCTGGTATAGCTGCTAGAAATGACAGAATATGAGCAACCTGGAGTTTAATTTGGTATATACAATGAGAGAAAAGTAATAATTTTGCAAAATTTACAGAGAGGATATAATAGGACTAATGAAGATAAAATTGTGTGCTCAGGTAAAGCTGTCTGAGGCAAGATGATTATACCCAGCTGTAGCCAATCTAATGGAAGTCCATGTAATTTTTTTGCTGTGCCAGTAATGCCCACAAATTCTGATCACATTTATACCAAGTTATAGGTTCAAATATGTATTTTAGAAGATTAGTATCAACTAATAAAGTTAAGGTAATGTAGAAATAAATCATAGAAAGAACTACAAATTTCCATGACGCGGATCCAATTGCAGGTTTCCAGAGGATCAATTCCCATGAGGAGTAAATATTGTTTGATTAAACTAGTGCATCCGATGATTAGTTTTAAGAAGTTTATCTTTTATGTTCAAGTACTAAATAGAGATTCCCCTGCAACTGCACAGGCCCAACAGGCTAAATATTTAGCAAGTGTTTTCTTTCATGCCGATATTGTGTAATGCTGGGGCTAGTAGAAATAATACCCTATTGAAATCGAAAGAAGTAACCACAAGGAAAAGAGCATTACGTACAATATGGACATAACATGGTACATTTTGGTAAAATATTATGTGCAAAAGAGGACAAAAGTACACTTAGATCTCAAGTACTAAAGTTCAACCATAACCAACATTATTGACTGGGCTTTGGTAGTAATCAGCTAATCTCACGGCAATACGCGAATGACAAACACATCTAAAAATACATGGAAGAAGAGTGAGGACTTTCAGTCTTATTGTCTCATCCAATACTGGTGCAATCGAACGGATTAACTGCGCAAAACCACCTGCACTCTAAGGAAAAAAGAGTAAGAAAACAAAAACAATGCTTAAGCCAAGGAGTCGAGGAAGCATCCAACTAAATTAAAATACCAATTTACCTTTCTGCAATAGTGGGCATTGTCACAGCTTCTAACTTTCTTATACATTCTAGTTGTCACATACATTTTGGATGAATATGTTTGTAGCATTATTTTCAAAACTTGCCATTCTTGCTTCATAGAGAAAAATAACACCTTTTTTGACTGGATATTTAAGACTACAACTACATATGCTGGACGTCTTGTTCAGTCTAAACCAACAACTATTTTGAATCAAACACAACATAAAACAGTAGACTTTGTCCATGGAGAACCAACTCTGGTTTTTGACATGGAGGAGCGGCAACAATTTGCAAGAGAAGAAGGTTTACACCAGGCAATCGTGGTTAAAGTATCTGCACGAGCACCAGAATTGAAGGAGATTCAAACTCTACTGCCCAAACAACTTGGGGTTAAGGGACATTGTTTGATTGGATTATTAGCGCCAAGACAAGTTTTGCTAAGGTTTGATCAGTTTGATGATTTTGTAATGTCTTTGACGCGATCTGTTACTTATTTTGCGCACAAGGGAGAGGAGAATCAGTGTAGAATCTTCCCATGGTCTATTGGTTTTGATCCCAAGGAAGAAACAACAAAAGCAGTTATATGGATATCACTGCCAAACCTTGCGCCGGATCTGTTTGTGAAAAAGGCTCTGTGATCAATCGCTTCTGCTGCTGGAAGACCTATTGCCATTGATAAAGCAATGCAAATTAAATCAAGACCAAGCACAACAAGGGTAAAGGTGATCTTGGACCTACTGGACAAGCATCCCAAACGTGTGAGGCTTCAAAGTTTGGATAAAACAAGTGGAAAAATTATTGAAGTGTTTCAGGAAATTGTGTATGACAATCTACCTTTGTACTGTAATTGTTGTAAACACCAGGGCCACGATGAGAATACATGTCGATATATATCGAAAAAGACACACAATGATGCTGAGATTGAAGAAGTTGAAGTTGTTCAAGAACAAGCTGATCGAAGTACTGTAGAACGATATCAAGGGGATTTGAGGCAATTATTGAATGCAAAAAAGATGCAGCAGGTTATTGAGACCAAGGTATGGATGCAGATAACAATAATGGGAATAATTCCCTTGTTGTTCATCAAGGATCTGAGGAAATAAGTTGATTAATACACCAGCTGTGATTAGAAGTTCCAATGGAACAATACCTCGAGAAAACACTACTGCTGCAGTTGTTTCAGCTGAGGCAAATCCTACTACACAAAGTATGGGAGTAACAGAAGTTGGCAAGGAGCATGCTAAGCCAGGCATGACTAAATCTCCTACTGATAGTGAGGTGAAGTTGACTGATGCCTCAAGTGTTAGGAAAAATAAACTTCCAGCTGATATCCCTGCTACAAGAGCTTTGGAAACAATTTACAAGGCAGTAAGGCAACTGCTGTTGCACTAGCTGTTACTGCTACACCTGTTGCTAAACCTTCTGCTGCTGATCAAGCTGAATCTACTGTATAAATTGACAAGGCAAAGGATGATATGACAACTGGTGATCGAACCACTATAGGGCCGGATAATGTAAGTGTTGGGGTATTAGAGTATGCAGCTTCATCAGGTACATCAAGTATCAGCTGGAATTGAGCAGGCTGCACCTGGAACTTTGACACCTACTGATTCATTGACTACAAAGGTGGATCTAGCTACACCTAACGCTGGGCTTTCAATGGCTAAAGGTGCTGGGCAGACAAGGAAATCTGTTACAAATCCCAGCAACTCTGCTTCAAAGAGCAATGACAGGACAGTGGTGAATCGTACAGCCAGCAAGAAGAAATCTACAGGTCTCCAAAATCAGATTTTATCATCAAAGACCATTGATTCAAACTCCATTGATGCTTTGGTGAATGAACATGAGCAACATGTGAAGGAGGTTGGGAATATGAAGCAACAGATTGGCGATGAGGAAAGGCCAAGGTATGGACTGGTGCTTTCTCCAGGCAAATCTGGACATGTTACAGCCAAAGATCCTGTGGTTGTTGGTGGTACTACAAGCCCCGTTACTGGACAAAAAGCTAAGGAAGTTGGGCATCAAAACCTTACAGGACAGGTGCAGCAGCAAGTTCGGACAGCTGGTGATCGAGCTACTACAACTGTGATACCAAATGCACGACAACAACATGCTACTTCCCAGATTTGGAAAACAGATGGTGTGACAGCTGCTAAGTCAGGTGCACAAAATATTGCAGCTCCTACTGTTGAATTAAGTGCTCAAACTGCTGGTTTAAAGGCTACTGCTAAGTCATGCATGAAGGTATCTATGATCATTGTCCAGCAATTATTAATTGAGAAGGAGGGAATGTAAAGAGTATAAGTAACTATCTGCAATAGTTTACATGATATTGAACTTAAAGGTAGAGGGGAGTAGCTAGTTTCTATTGGAAAGCTTAGCAACCGGTCTAGTCAATGTCTTTTTTCTTAAAAAAAAGAAGAAGAAAACAGTGGGGTTTGGACGAACTTGCACACCTATGTTATATCAACTACCTCAACCAGCACAAGTGTTGGCCAAGGCTTCAGTAGATGGGAAGATTTCACTTAGTGACACCTATGTTATTCAAACCTTGGTTGAGATTGTCACTCTAGCTCTTCCATCTCCTTGGGGCCCAATCTAGTAAAATCTTGTAGAGTCCTGGTTTAAAGCCTAGTTCTAACAACCAGAAGAAACTAGGGAGAAAACGTGACACGATCCAAAATCCCACCAAGTCGTGATGACACCTAACACAACCAGCTAGGTAAGCCAACCAAGATATAACACAGTTTGATTGAAGGTCATCAAGTAAATAATTTAATAAAAATGCAAAAATCAAAACAACT